GGATTCGACCCTGTTCCTCCAATGGTCCCGTTTGTCCGGTTCGGTCGAAACTCTGCAGCCACTCTTTCCCCATCATCGCCCCCACCGCAGCAAGCAAGCTGCAGCTCAAGCTAGCGTAGAGCAAGCAATTAACAACGACGGAGTTGGAGGACGGAGCAAACGGGGCAGAGATGTCGACGGGTATGGGGGTGTTATTGTCCGCTTTTGTCACGAGGAGCCGGAGGAGTGTATTGGTCTCGGTCAGCGGGTCGGACGAAAGGCCTGGCATAGTGATAGAGATGAACGTCGTGTTAATTGCCGAGAACAAAGCAGCCTGTATTTTCATGGCGTGATCAGCTCTGAAAGTCCTTCTTTATATACCAACTCCCGAAAGACAGAATAAGCGAGCTCACAAAGATCAACAGCACATCGAGGTTCTCGCTAAGATCTTCTGTCATCTTGTTGTCGTGGGTATCGGCTTGGCGGTTGTAGCGTTTCCAGAACTCGCTCGTCTTTTCCAACGGAGTCGAAAGACCAATAAGCACTTCTGGATCATCGTCGAAGACGTCGTTATCGAGCCGCTGGGACTGTAGTATATAAACGTTTCTGTGTCGTATCATTGATGGAGCGTTTGATGCGCTGATGGATGAGAAAGGTGGTGAGAAGGAAAGAACGCTCCTTCAGGATTCTACCCCACCACTGCAACTCTGTTAGCATGCATGGAAGATGTGAGGTAGGCGTGCAGGTCAAGCCACTGGTTGGCTTTCGGGGGCCACTCACGAATGACCGATGAGGCTTACGTCCGTCACAAAACGTTTCCACCATCATTTTAACCGATCACGTCACTCGACTCCCAGCCCCAATTGCAACACTTCAAGTTGGCTGCTTTTCTTTTCGCCATGGCATGCGAAAGATCAACAGAGGCTTGCTCGGTTGCTGCGGATCACCTACTGAGCCTTTTAAGTTTAATCCCTTCGTATAATACGTTCACCAAAATGGGCTAATTCAATGCCCTCAGAGTGCACACTGCAACCGAGAACTGTTTCCCAGTGGACGTAGCATGAGAAAGGGAATGTAAGTTCTTCTGCCGCTGGAGATATTATTTCATTCTTCTTCCTATCAATCACGTCTCAATACTACAGCGAATGGACGGATCGTCTGCGGTTTAATTTCGCTTTGCGTTCCAAAGATTCCGAATCAACCTACCGCTACGTCGATATCATAATCTTCAGCTCTGAAGATGAGAAGTAATGCTATTGAGGGGCCGAGTCAGACCGCGAGTTTAACCGCGAACGATGATGTTTGTTCAGGGTACAGGGGTTCTCCGCTCGGCGTTCTTCGGGCTTTGGACGCCACTCCTCCATACTAAGTTGGGCTGCTCTCTGAGGCGGGGCGATTTCATACCGTACAGTAGTTTATCCTTTTGGCCAAGCTTGGGCCTCGACCGACTTATCTATGAAATGAATTCAAGGAGGGGCAAGCCGTAATCGATTCCGAGATTGGGATTGAATCCTCCCCTGATAACTTGGACCTCCTCGCGAGGCAGACCATGGGTGCCCCGTAACTTCGACCGTATTCGCGATTGATCTCACCATATAACGCCACGGGGCACGAAAACCAGAACACCTTTTATTGGTGTTAATTGGAAGTACGAGGTAACACGAATAGCACAGAGAGGAGAACAACGATGCGAGGCTTCCGCATGCACAAATCGGAGGTGATGTACAGATACATAGTGTGAGTCGCGGGGCATATACCGGCAGGACGAGGGACAATAAGGTTGGGGGGGGGGAATGGGGTGAGGGAGAAAATCAACCGATAATAATAATTATGGATAAAGAGTTTGTAGGGCAAAGGTGTGGGAATGTCGATTCGGCGGAAGCATACTAGGGCGTTTAATGTGGCACGAGTGTTTCCAGGTCGTGTTGGCAATTCAAATCAGGCATGCAGCAGGGTGTGAGAGCTAAGGGATCGGATTTAAAATCAGCGTCCTTCGCCCTTCGATACTCAGAAACACGACTCACCATAGGCGCGGAGATACGGGGCAACGGCGAACCAGTTAATCATGGCTGAGAGTAGAACTCCACCATTCTGGCTCTTGGTTGGCTAGTTGCTTCTCCCGGCTGAGAGAAGTAGCCCAATCGCCGGCATTCTTGTGCTGACATGGTGTACCCATAAAATGCCTTTTCTCTTCGCAATGATGGGTTAGGGACGGGCCGGCGATGATGTCTTGAAGAGGGGGTAGGATCGTTGGCGAGGATCCAAGTGCCGGTTTTGGTTATATAGGGACGTCTGAAGAAGAAAGTTGTTAGAATCCCATGGCACCTCTGTACGGGAGGATCAGGCACCAACTAACCCTGGGTTCGCAACGAATGCGCCTTGCCGGCATAATGGTGCTGGCGTGGAGAGGGTGACCTTCGGCATGACAGATATGGTTAGGGTTGTACGGAGTCCAAATATGGGAGAGTATTCGAGATGGCCGATGTAAGCTTCCGGTAAGCTTGATGGGGTGTTTAACCAAGGAGGAGATGCGAGCGATGGGCGAGAAGCGAGGGCTCGAGAGGAAAAGGTCTTTGTGGAATGCCTTGAGGCAACCTTGGAGGGAGAGAATGGGTTTATAAGTACATCCTACCATCCCGATGAAGAAGCGGTCGCCAATTGCTATCAACTAAAATGTAGGTTGTTCTCGCTCTGCAATGTACTGCGAGAACAACCTGCAGTTAATCAGGGAAAGAAGGGTGCATTGCAAGGACCCACAGTGCATTGGTGCAGTGCGACAACTCAGGGACGAGAACAACCCAAGGGAAACACGAGAACAACGCACCGCCCAAACAACGGTCAACAAAGGGACCACCCGTTCGATAGAGGTTGTACGCCGCCAGTAGATGTTTTGGCTATCTGGAGTCGATGGTTGTTCTTGGGGCTCTTCCCTTAAGTGTCGAGTTGTGTGAACTCTTCGCAAGAGACGGTCGTGGGCATGTCTATGGTGGCAGCAAGAAGAGTCACGTGAGACGCTTTCTTCCTGTTCTTGATGTTCTTGCTGCCTTCATACCTGCTAACACGAGCGTCAAGTTCGTCCTGTTCAACTTTCGCGACACGAGGATTCCGAGTCGTCGTCGTGATCAAGAAAACGGCTCACGTGCCATACACAATCTCGTGAGCGACAGCCAGTCCTGCTCTCATTGCGGCATCTTTGAATGAATCTCGGTGGCCTGTCGGGACGAACATTAACGGTGCACTCTCAAGGCACATACACCAGACCTACGGATCAGGATGTCGCATTGCAAAGGAGTCAAGATCCCGGGCGCGTTTCGTTTTTGACGATGCTGCACAGCAAAGCCCGTTGTATAAGTTAGAGATAATGAACACATCATATAATATATCCTGCTATCAATGACTGCGGACAATGTCGTGCGTACTGCTCGTCTTAGAGCTGAAGGGGCGCGTATTTCTTGAAGGCAAGTTGGAGTTCCGGCACAAACGTTCCGCCAACACTGCGCGATCAGGAAAACCGTCAGGAAGGCCACCCTCACTGATGGTGTCTATTGGCAATTGAGGGAGGATGTGGTAGGATGCCAATCCAAAAATCTCGTCCACTTTCTGCTTTCTCCCCAGCCCAGGAATGCTAGATGTCGGAGACGCCGTTCATCGAGGTCGGCCAGATTCCGGATTCCTTCGTCCATAACCCGCACCCGCAGATTCGTCGAGAGTTCATAAAAATTGATGGTGTCTATTGGCAATTGAGGGAGGATGTGGTAGGATGCCAATCCAAAAATCTCGTCCACTTTCTGCTTTCTCCCCAGCCCAGGAATGCTAGATGTCGGAGACGCCGTTCATCGAGGTCGGCCAGATTCCGGATTCCTTCGTCCATAACCCGCACCCGCAGATTCGTCGAGAGTTCATAAAAATTGCGCGGTAGCATCTGATCTCCACGGCCGAAGGTGGTCCTTAGAGCCAGTCGACTACTTGCACGCTCACTGTCGATGGGTCTCCCATTTCAACAAGGCCGGCTCCCGGGCACCCGGCCGCAAGAGCATCGAATAGGTTTCACGCAGCCTCGATGGGAAGACCACTATCGCGCCCGCAAGCTCGGCTCAGAAGAATGAAGAGTATATCCAGGTTCTCATTCAACCTGGAAACAATCTTGTTGTTGTGGATATCAGCGAGACGTTCGGAACTGCCTCAAGGATCCCACCTTGTAATCCAGCGGCGGCTGAGTGCAGGCGGATCATCATTGAAGCTCCCCCGGCTAATTTGTGGCCTTCAATTTTTACGTCCATCTCTCTTGGATATTCCTTCGTGCGGAGGCTAGAACGGGGCCGGTGGTGGGAGTCCGGGAGGATACCAAAGGTCTTGACGAGCGCCCTGGGCACGAAGCACAGTAAATAGGCACAATCATCGCCCCTGTCTTATGCGCCGCCACGTTTGAGCTCATTTTAATCGATGAGAGCGCCCATTTATCCTTAGTCATATGCTGAGAAGTATTCACCAACTTTGGCATTCCGGTCGAGGACTTGGCACTTTCCAAACCTGTCTCTTGGTTGCCGCGACCGACAGGGCTTGGCCTGGGTGAGTCGCTCCAGATGTGAAGCTGTTTGCGGCACTAATAAGCATACAGGAGCCAGGGTGGACTATTCCGAGACCTCTAAGAGAGCACACGAAGCATAGACCTTGATAGAGCAGGCGAGGGTGCCCCAGAACATGCGGTTCGCGTGGTAGTATCAGAACGACCGAAAACGGCAATAAATACACGGAAACAAATGAATATCAAGAGGTGGAAACTTATTTTCGAGACAGAGGGCAAGTTGGGACGGTAAATCAGGGGAGAATCTAGAGCCCTGCAACAGCTTGGGGTCAATCAGGGCGTTTCTCACTTTGCACAGAACGACAGCCTTTTCATACAATGCATCCTAACAGCATATTAAACTCCTGCAGGAAGTAACGTACCACCAAATTGTGATGAAAAGGTCGATGTGTGCATTTAACGGCCTAGGTCCATATGACCGGGGTGGTTCCGGTGCGACTGCGTCGCTTAGTGGTTAGAGCATCTCGTTGTGGTTTTCTTTACTACTCTGCACCAGCAGGGTTAGTAATAGCCCCGAGAAGACGGGTGTTCGATTCACCCCGCGGTCATTTTCGATCCCTAAAGTGGTTGACAGTGGGGCAGCGAATCATTTTACTTGACATCTTTTTGGGGCAGGTGAATTCGTCTAAGGGTCCTGCGTGATGGATTCGCGGCTAGGGGTAATTATAGAGCATGGCTCCTAGCCTCCAGTTGTAACTCCTACTGTCGTGAAGCCTTCATCTCGGTTGA